GGTGTCCTGGGAATAGATGAGGGTGTCCTGCTGGATAGATGAGCTGCCGCCACCAAATGGATCAGACCCTGACCACAAGGGAGACACCATCAGCGAGGACGAGGGTATTCTGTTCCCACTGGGGCTCCTGGAGTGTCTTCTGGCTCAGATAGTACCGGCTGTGAGGACCGTTGGCTGCAGTAGGCCCTGGGTTTAACCAAGTCTATCTGAGAAGCAGGAGGAGGGTGCAGGGTAGGGGCTGGAGTGAGCAGCTGCTCCATTCACCCTGTGAGACCATCTTCACCTCTCCTGGAAGCCTTATTCCTCTCTGCCTTTCTCCTTGTGGGTCATACTCTTCCTGAATTTCTCCACTCCACACTTGTCTCTTATTCTAGGTTGTCTTCTCTCAGCCCAGTTTGGAGAAGCTTCTGTCATGTGCCTGCTACTCTGCCCAGTCTCATTAATTCTTCCTGTGACATATTGTTACCTCCCTTCTCTCTCTCATTCATTCTACAAACATTTATTAAACTCCTTGTATAGATCAAACTCATGAGGTACAGTAAAAAAAAACGCACAAAAATCCCTCATGAACAAGTGAGGGGGGCCCTCAGCCCCCTTTATATTTTAAGGTTCTAATTTCCTTATATTCTAATATAAGGAAAATCAGACAATAAGTAATAAATACAGAAGATAAATTATATATATCAACAACATATAATTTATTAATTTATACATATACTATATATATATATCAATTATATGTTAATTTAGAAAGTGATAATGACTTTAGAAAAATTTAGAGTAAGGTAAGGGGGCCAAGAAATGGCAGAGAAGAAGAGCAATTGTTAAAAGAGCGGCCAGGATGGGCCTCCTGAAAGGTGGCATCTGGACAAAGACTCAAAGGAGATGAGGGATTTTTGTGGGTATCTGGGGGAACAGTGTTTCTCTGAGACAGAGGCCCCAAGGTGGAACCATGCCTGTTAGGTTCAAGGGACAGAGGGAGGATCAAGCCAGACAATGTCAGGGGAGGACTCTGAGAGGTCACAGAGGGGCTTGTGGATTCTAGCCAGGCCCCTGCTCTTTATTCTGAGTAAGATGGGTGCACTGGAGTGTTCTGAGATCATCGAAACGATCACTGGCTGCTGCATAGTGGAGAGCTGTCGGGGAGCAAGGGTAGAAGCAGCTACCATTGGAGGAAACTGAGGTTCAAAGCATCTTGCTCCAGATCCGCACTGAAGCCAAAACTGGGGTTGTGCTGTCAGATGAATGCATTACTTCTCAGACCCAGACAGGAACCCATGCACTTTGCCCCGCACCAGCCTCTTTCTGGTGGATGAGGCCTCTGGAGACTGGCCTCCCTGGGCCAGGTTTTGAGGGAGAGTAGGATGGACAAAGGCCACTGTCCCTTCTCTCTGCCCCTAATTGTCTCCCTGAGCCTGAATCAGACAGGTTCTGTTTCTCCTGGGAACCCGCCGCAAGTCTGTCTGGAGGTGTAGGAGGCATGAGGCCCTAGAAGCCCGCCCAGCTCTGGGCATCAGGGAAGCCTGGGCATGCCAGGGCGTGGCTGTGGTGGTGGGTTGCTAGGTGACTCCAAGAGGGAGCCCTGGTTACTGCTGCCTGGCAGAGGCGTCTCCCTCCTCTGCCTCCCTCACCACCTCAGTGGCCTCTCGCCTCCCAGGAGGCCTTGTGGGCAAGATGTGATTGGCGCTTGCCATTGGATCTTGGCTCAGAGCTCTGATTGGTACCAGGTGGCTGGGCCCTGAGGAGCCAGACTACGCTATGGAGCCTGGGCTTCCCTCATGGGGCACAGCCCTGGTGCACACCTGATGTAGAGCCCAGCTCAGCAGTCAGAGGCCAAGGTCCTCGCCTTGCTCTGGGCCTCCTCCCTGAGTGACCCTGGGAAAGGCATGGCGTCCATCTGCCCTATCTATCTGGCCTGCAGAATCCCTCCTAAATGGAGAGTGCAAGGCGGGTGCTGAGGGAGAGGGCTCCCGGCACTTCTGCCCCTATCCCCTGATGACTTAAGTGTGTAACACTCAAGTATTGCATTAGATTCCATTTACAAAAAAAGTAAACTTTAAAAAAAGTTTCAAGACCTCTGGACTGGATGATTCCAAGAACTTTCATTATCAAATTAAAAAGGTCCTCAGAATACCATTGGCCCATCTCATCCGTTTACCGGTAGGGAAACTGAGGCCCAGAGTGGAGAAGGGACTTGCCCCAGATCAAGCTTGGTGGAGGGGGAAGAGCACCAAGCTAGGGATCCTGAGGCTTGGACTCAACTCCAGCTCTGCCACCAGGTCCTGGGCGGCTTTGGGCGAGACCTTTCTCCTCTCTGGGTTTGATCAGTCAAGGTTTCAGGATGGAGCTCGGGCAGCCAGGGGTACCTGGCTGGGCAGGAGACAGAGAGGGGAAGGATACAAACTGTCATAGGCCTAGAGCACGTGCTCTTGGTGGTAATCTAAAACACTTTTATTTGTATGCAGAAAATGTGGATGGATTAGGACAAACAATGCAAAATTCCCTTGAATTCTAAAAAAGAGGTTCTAAACAGACTTGTAAGGAATTTTGACCCTTGAACATGCCCCCAGTCTTCCCAGGCTGCCAGCTTCTGGGAATGGTTACCTGGAAGGTTTGAGAAGCACTGGAGTGCTGGCTTCATAAGATGCTTTGGAAATCCTGCGACGCCTCTCTCTCTCCCCAGGTGGGATGCAATGTCCTTTAGACTCAGTGAGACTAACCTGAAATCAATACCGGGCTCTGCCACTTAAACTGGGCAACTTCCCTGGCAACTTCCTTAACCTCTCTGAGCCTCATGCTCCTCATCTTGAGATAGGGATCACAATCCCCGACTTGTGTGGAGTTTGACAGAGTGATTACATGAGATAAAGTACTCACGAGGCCCAGAGCTGAACAGGTAGTACTGAGGAGGTGCTGGTACTTGGTGATGTCCTTCCTCCTCCCCCCACCTCTGAGCACTCAGAGCCAGGCTGGCACATAGTGACATTAATCAAGAGGTGTTGCCTGACTGGCCTTCAGCTGGAGAGGCTGGGAGGTGGAGCCTCTGTAAGCCAGATGTCCCATTTGGGAGCACTGAGGCCTCTGCGGCTCCTGAACCCAGGTGTGGGGGAGGGGCTGGGGAAGCAGGTGTAGGGGCGGGAACAGGAAAGGGGGTGAGTACCACTCCCTGGAGGGTCCAGCTCCCCTCCTCTCAGGGTCCCAGGAGAAGCCAGGCAGGGCAACACTGGGAGGGGCCTTGGAGACCCAGCTGTCACCTACCAAGACCAGAAAGTACCAGAGATAGGGCACCTGGGGCCCTGAAGAGTCAGGAGTTCAGGCTGAGAGAGGGTACCCTGGGCAGCAGAAAGGACCCTTCCTTCTGGACACTGATGGGAAGGGGGCAGGAGGGAGAGCCCTCATGGCTCAGTGGTTACAGGGCTGGGTGGATAAAGAGCTATGAGCAGGCCCATGAGCTGGGCAGATCTGGAGTGGTACCTGGCATTGCTGCCTATGGGACCATGGGCAAGTTACATCATGCCTCTGGGCCTCCACACTCTGGTACCTGAGATGGCTAATGCCAGCTCTCCAGAGTTATTTGCGCCCAGCACAGTTACATTCAGCATAATATCAAGGAGGTAGAGACAGAGCAGGTCTATGGGTGATCTAACAGGTGAGAGTATTCTGGACAGGGTGAGGGATTTAACTGTTTATGAACACCTGGTGTGTTCTAAGGTGGTTATTGAATATCACCCATTTTTTTCAGGGTAGCTCACTAAAGTACTGAGACTCATAGAGGTTAAGGCAACAGCCCAGGGTCATATAGTTAGGTGGCTGAAAAAAGCCAGGCATCCTGACCAGACTTCTGATACCCAAGCCCATGCTGTTTCCACAGCAATACCTAAGCCAGGAGGTCAAGGTCACCAGGTGGGAGGCCCAATAAGTTCCTGTGAAGTCAGTCAGCTGTGGCCTCCCCTGCCTTCCTCTGTCCCCAGGACAGGCCTGGCAAAAGCAGGCAGTCATGTGGGGAGCACTACAGACTGGCACAAAAGACATTTAGAATAGGATATGTGCAGGAGTGACAAAGGGTGGAGCCCAGGGAAGTGCCCGAGACAGCAGAAAGGCTGTGTAACCCTGGGTAAGCCACCTCTCTGAGCCTTGGTCTTCTTGTCTGCAAGTGGACATCATGCCACCTGCTTTGTGGAGATTTGTGAAGATTTCACCAGAAAGGGGCTTTTTAGGGTGGGCTGCAACCCAGAGGCAGGCCAGAGAGCTGGGCTGGCTTGAAGGTGGGTCACTGAGCAGAAATGGGGTCAGAGGTCTCCAAGCCCATGGATGTGTTTTGCTGGAATCCAAGGCCTCTGTGGAGTTCACAGAAGCTCAGAAGAGTTGGGGGAACTCTCTGCAAAGTGTCAGGCCTCTACCCACCTTGGGGATGCCCAACTTGTTCTGCTTCCCCTGGCCAAGCCCTCCCAGCAAAGGGTTAACAGTCTTCTCTACCTGCAGTTGCATTTTAAAGACACGAAATTAAAGCAGGTAATTTATTCTCCCCACACACGAAAGAGCAATTAGTTCTAAACAGGGCTTAATCAGTCACCACGAGATTGATTTCTGGAGCCCTGGGTTTTCGGGCTCCTGGCGCCATGCCAGACTGGGGAAGGAGGGGGGCGGACAAATGAGCCACAGCAGCATGAGCCCTTACATAATCTGCTGGGGGGCAATTTGTCATATTCATTTAAAAATATATTTTTATTGATTTCAGAGAGGAAGGGAGAGGAAGAGAGAGAGAGAAACATCACTGATGAGAGAGAATCATTGATTGCTGCCTTCCTCACCCCTAATCCCTTCCCCCACTCACCTTTTCATCTCCCCTATTTCCTCCCCTTACCCCTTCTGGCCCTTTTCCATTCTCTTATCCTCTTCTTTCTCTATCCCCCCCCCCCTTCTTTCCATCACTACCCCATCTTTACTCATGGCCTCCTCACTTCCCACTCCCCGACCCATGTCCTTGTCTCTGGCCACAGAACTCCATCCGGCACAACCTGTCGCTGCACACCCGTTTCATCCGCGTGCAGAACGAAGGCACAGGCAAGAGCTCCTGGTGGATGCTGAACCCCGAGGGCGGGAAGACCGGCAAGACCCCGCGGCGCAGGGCCGTGTCCATGGACAATGGAGCCAAGTTCCTGCGCATCAAGGGCAAGGCAAGCAAGAAGAAGCAACTGCAGGCACCTGAGCGAAGCCCCGACGACAGCTCCCCGGGCGCACCAGCCCCAGGGCCTGTGCCTGCCGCGG